CGGATAAAGGAAATACAGAAAAACTGCCGTTGCAGGAAAGACGGCCGGCAAAAATCAACTGACTGTGTGAACGTGAAAATTAATAGAATATCACCTCCCATCTTCAAAGCAATCTGACTATTATAACATTAGCGTTAAGAACGCTTACTTAAATATCTGCCACAAGTTAACATAAGTAACCGGGTCAAAGTAACATCACGTACAGTCCAGACGAGTGCAGACGTCGATGTGTCCCATTATCATTCATATCACATCATAATGTATCATATATTTCCTTATCTGTGTCAGATTCTTGAGCCGTATCTGGCCGTGCAACACTCAAAGTGTCACATACTGTATGCAGAAGTATTATTTTACCCGGTAAGAAGTGAACCAGCGTCGTAGGACCGGAAACCCAGAGTTTACCCTGAAGTTACCTCGCTAAGCGAAAATCCGGCTTCATACAGTAGTACAGACCTCCTGTGTCTCAATGAGATTTGACCTGTATAAATAAAGGCTAAATATAAAAGTACAATGATGAACCCTACTCTGCAGTTTACTTAAGCTCTATGGAGCATTTTGGTGCTTTTATTATTATCAGTTTTGGTTTTATGGCTCGCCACTTTCATGTTTTCATTCAGTCTCACATTTCTCATCAACATTGTTTTCAGGTTCAACAGGCAGAAAAACAATTATAAACTTAAAACCATAAACCAACTTTATTCTACCTGCCAAGCACCAAACAACAATCACTCAAAGCAAGCATCTTTTTCTCTTTTCTCAGGTCGAGCAAGCGGCCAAACACAGCTGAAAGCGAGGGAATATTGTGTTTACATTGCTATGAGTATGCTGAATGTGTAGATAAGCCACTGTTTGATTTAACAGTTGTTATATCAACTTCATATAGTACTGTAAGGTGGTGTTATACACCAATGTTGGTCAATGTTGTGTTAACAGCGTTTTTCAACAACCCCAAGGAAGCCATAAAACAAAAAAAATAATAAATGTAGGTTTAACATAACTTTGGAATGTGCAGTGATCATGATTAATCGGGTGATTTCTAGTCATTAACATTTTCATATCCTTATAAGATACATTTCCTGAATTTCTTAAACCACAAAATGAAATATAAAGCATAGCAACTCGTTTGAGATGTGGCAGCTCTGTTGGTGACCGTGTGTGCAGGCAGGCCTCTTGTGAGTTTCAGGAAAAAGAGAGACTTTGATTCTGAGTCTGATGTGAGCTCCAACATTTCTTCAGCTACGCAGCTCTGGAAAAAGGCCCAGCGTGTGATACTGAAACCAACACAAATTATTTCAAGAGTTTTCTAGCCAACAGCAGTTGCAATTACAATGACAAAACGTTGCCTTGATAAATCAGTGAGTCTTGTGCCTAAGCATATTTTCACTGCTTATTAGAGACAGACAAAATGAAGAAGAACATTATGCATTACCTGGAGTGCTGCATTCTGAAATTACTCCCACTTCATTTGCTGTATTCACACACACACACACACACACACACACACACACACTGTTTTAGAGAAGTACTCATCTGATAATGAATGCAACACCTCGGTTGGGAGCTAATTATATTAGCGACACAACTTGGTTCTGCTGTCTTGCTCTCTCAGTGGTGGCCCCGTTGGGAGACGACGTCACGTGGCAACACAGCCCACCGCTCCAGCTGGGCTTGTCAATGCCCAGATTAAAGATTTCCAATGGCCATGCCCACTTACTCCAACTCAAAATGTGCTTTGCCGCCAGCTACTATGACACATTCAGAGAAAGTTTCACACTGGTAGGAAGAATAATGATGATAACAATGACAGTAACAGACACAGTTGCAAAGCTACCTGATCGGCAACGGCACGGGCCAATTTGTCCATCCTAGAACCAGCCTCTGCAATTTTCTTAGCCGCGTTGATCACATCTGAGGAGTTCTTCAGGGGGCCTTTGCCTCTGGGAAAATTCAAGGAGGGATAAAGTATTAAAAAGGAAATGTGGCCGGAGTTACAGAGGCAGAGGACATGCAGAGATTCCTTTTAAAGACCCAGTTCACCCCTGAGCTCATACAGGAGCAACTAATTTGCTGCGGCAGCCATTAGAAATATATGACATTGCAATAAACCAACAGTACGCAATTTCCTAGACATTGGATATAACAAATACAGTGTGCCTTTGTCCCTAGAGATGCCATTTGAATCACAAAGAAACATGTTTTTTTAACAACAAAAACAGGAACATTTTCAGAACAAGGAAATAAAACAATAAATGGAAATAATGGCTAACAACTGAGTATTTGTTCTGTGTTGTTATTTCTTGATCTGCCAGCATGTCAAAGTCATTGTGGCTAAATGATTGTGTTTGCGTTTGTGTAATGTCGGATTTCTATTCAGTGCTAAGACTCAGTTTGTTCACCCCAATCTGAGTAACCGGGGTCAATGCCAAGTAATGATGGTGCAGTCACAGAACCACAGCCATAATCACTCATGAGTAATTACTAATGGCTCGGATTATCGTTTTTTTCACCTCTTATGGTTAGTTCGATGCCATATACTGTAATTGTGGAGTGGCTCAGAAATCCATACACATGGCAGATAACTATCACTTTGGCATTAGGGATTTCACTGATATGTTGAGGCGCAGATGGGGGCGATTGAGAGGAAAGCTGCTGGCTTTTAGTAACAAGATTCTAAATGCAAATAGATTATCTATTACAGTATATCTTTGAATCAAAGCATTGCTTTGTAATCTGAGCAAAATAAAGGTTGAATGGGTCACTTTGCCTTTCACAAATCAGTGTGCGGCTCTGCGTTGCAAAGGCAAGATAGTTCCTTAGCAATCCCACTTGCTGGCACTGTATTTACTCACTGCTCCAATTGTTTCATTTACACCATAAAGGGGTTTCTTTCATAATGATGATCCTCCAGAGATTTATCACCTGAGAAATGACCTCCTTCCTCAGCTTGAAAAAAAAGAGGAGGGGGAGCCTGTGCCTGCCCAGAAGTCTACGAGATACAGCTAAATGATCCCGTGATTAAACACATATCATGTTCCAAACCACATCAAGGATTATTTCTGAAACAATATGGAGCTCAAATGCTTATTTTCTTGCGGGTTTACCACAAGGTAAGTTCCTTTTTATATCCTGCTTTTTTACACTTAGGCCCAATTCCAAACCACACCCTACCCACTCCCACTCCCTGACGGAGTGAACTCCGTGGAGTGACTCTCGCAGCTCAACAAGGCTTCCTCCTGTCAGATGGAGGGAGTAAATACAGCGGCAAGCTTTGGGACAAACTCCCCTCTCTCCGGCAGAAACAGGAAATGCCGTAACTGTATGTAACAACGGTTTCAAATCAGCATCTCTTTGACAAAAAATAAAAATTAATAACTAAAATAAAACTCTTTAATTGTGTTTTTGTAAAGCTCTTTCAGTTTTAAACCTGATGTTTAAAAGCTTCTTGGTTTTTGCAACAGTCTGTAAATATACACAACTTTATAATGAAATGCACACATTTACCTTTTTCTAGACTAAACACACAGGTATGATCCTAAGTTAAAAACATATGAGGTTATCATGAGGTTGTTAACTTCACAATTTATCAATGAATGTTTGCAGGAACTGTTTGTAAACAGCGTGTTTCCTGACATGACACAAACAGCGTTGAGTCCAGTCAGGGCCGTCCCCTCCCTACAGGCCGATCACGCTAACCCTGGGGCCTCACCTTGCGGAGGGAGCCTCAACTGAGCCGCAGCGAGGCTCCACTAGCAACCCCCCCCCCCGTCGACGACGACGACGCTCGCGAATAAGAGGGCCTCATCATATAACTTTGCGTGGGGCCTCAGGTGAAGTCAGCACCGATGCAGACTCGCTGTTTGAGGGCTGGATAACCCACTCCCCCTCCACAGCACTTAATGTGGCAGACCCTCCACGCGAAACGGAGGGGTAGTGTGTAGGGGGTGGATTGGAAATGGGCCATACTCTCTCCAGTATAGGTTAGCTCTGAGTGTTAGGAATGCTTGCTAATGTAAACCAAGACCATATTACGTCCAAAACAGTCGGGTATTGTTTCCGTGGTTGTAAAGCCAGCCCACATCTCCGATATTACGTCATATCGGACGCAAATCTGGATCAGCTCCGTTGTACCCCCGTTTTTAGTGATTTGGGTACGGAGGAAAATAGACAGGGTTTTGTTTTATGACACTTTGTGAGTTCCCTGGCACACCGTTCACTGTATAAAAGACATAGGTCCCCTTTAAGACATAACAGGCAGTTGTTTGCAGTGATACACTGCAAACAACTGCCCGCTATGTAATGATACACTACCTAGCCATAGTCTGTCCCTAGCCAGCACCAAACTGCAGGAGAACAAAGATAGCGACTAGCTAGTAAACATAGCAAAGCCTTCTAGAGTTTTTGTATTTGCTGTATGTTAAAGAAACGTATCTATCTAACAAATGATCCGTATGTACTTACATTTTGATAATGCATCACTATTGTGTTCACAGGTTGCTTTAACTGCCTTTAAGTGTGATATTTACCTGGTGAAGTCTGTCATCTCCATCATGATCATACACATCTGCTTGGCCAGCACAATGATGTCATTGCCGTTGTCATCCCACTTGGCCACTTCTGCATCTAGCTTGCACTTCTCCTGTCGGAAGCTCTCCACCTGCTCAGCAATCTTAGCCTTCTCCTCCTGGGGAAGCTGTGCCATGATAGCCTGCAGGCAACGGAGGAGCGTGGCATAAATAAAAGCATTAGACTAGGAGGAAAGGGTTGATAGGGAGCAAATTTGAGCAGAATAAATTGGAAGAATTGCTCATAATAAGGGAAATGCCAGAGGAGAAGAATTTAGGTAGAGGGGGGGGGGGATAAGGTTGGGGTGGAAGGAATGATAGGGAAATTAGGAAAGGGGCGAATAAGAACGGGGATTAGTTAAGGAGAAAAAGAATAAAGCAAGGAATATAAAAAAGAGAGCTGTAGCACCATTTGTTCTATTTTTTCATTTCGGCCTACTTTTTAATCCGCCCTACAAAACTTGAACACTAAGTCTGGAGTCAGACTATCCCTGCCCCTTTATAACACTCAAAAAATAAAGTTCTAAACTTTACGTTTAATGATTGGACCTTTTCAAACCCCTTGACATCTTATATCCATAAAGCGCAAATCCATTTTTGCCTTCATTTTTCCCTCATTGGCCTTTGGGGGCAGGTCCAAAATGGCATAAATCTTGAGGCAAGGTCACAGGCACAATGAGGACCAAGTATTATTTGGGAGATAAATGTATAATTACCTTGCTTCTTAGACCAGAGACTGAATAATGCATTTGTTCAACATTATGTCAGGGAGGTGAGATGGAAGGAAGAGAAACCTGGTTTCCATTAGGTCGATTCTATTGACTCGAGAGGCAGAGAGAGAAAACGAATACAGTAAAAAAAGAAAAGTCGCCATTGTTTTTTAACCTCATCTATTATTGACTGTCCTCCAAGAATTGCTATTCTCTCAATGAAATAATCGCCCTTGTCCCCCTTTCCCCTCTTCCATCATCCCTTTCTCTCACAGCAAAGCTGGTGTGGGGGTGCAGGGTGAGCTCAGTGAGAAAGTGCGTCACTTAACTCATGTCCCCTGCTATATGTGTCAGGAGGAAATTGAAAACAAAAAATATAGATGACTTGTCCTTCTGAAATTGTTCTAAAAGAAAATAAGCTGAAACAGGAGGGGGCCCGCAATGAAATATAATTGAAATAACAGAAAGAAATAGAGAAGCATGGAGGCACAAGTTGAGGCCAACAGCTGTGTCCATGAGCTTTGGCCTTCTGATCACTTTGTGAACGAGGGGCGCAACGCTTTGATGGCGGTTTAGCTTTAAAGAACCCAAACGGCGTAAACAAACAAGCAAACCCAGCCCCCTCAAGCCCAGTGTAGATTTCCTCTGCTGCTGGTGCCAAGACACACAAACAACAGCGATGCAGCAAATCCCATTTAAGCGCGTGTGGGGGGGAAACACTGCTCACATTTAAAACAAATACAAAGTTAATATGTATTTAGACTGCACAATGAGGAATAAACAATTTAAAACAGGCCACTGATTCCAATGGGGCAAACTATTCACTGTGCAGGTGTGACTATGAATGATGGGTACCACACAGCAGTAGCTCTGCTGCTCCTGGAAACACTATTTATTAAATCTATAACAAACAACTACTTTAAGTCTACTCATCTACAAGGCAACACTCTTCCCTAATTTAAATTACTGATGATCCCTACTTTATTTGGCTTGGGTTAATTAGCACTAATGGGGTTTTATAAGGAAAACATACATTTAAAGCCCTCGTGCTTGTCCTAAATAACACTAATGTATACTAATATATATTTTTTGATATACATTTGGTTTGGGCTCTGGGTAGCCAGTAGCTCTCTTGGGTATGGTTTGCTTATTACCTGCTCATGTTCAATGTGGCCAAACACATGATGTAGGCAGAGCTGTACAGTAATGCCGAATCAATCATGACAGGTGAGTGCACCGTGCCTCCGGGCACATCGTTATGACCCGAAACTCGAGGACGGTCTTAAGCATACCTTTACTGCTCACTTCATTGCTGCACCCAACTGTTGAGGCATCAATTATTCACTTATTTCTATAATTACATCGACCTGCATGCCCCTGGTGTCAAAACAGTGGGTACGGAGTTGAAACGAAGTACAGTTATGGTTTTGCTATGTGTCATTGTTAGGAGACAGATGAGGAAAGTAAATCGGGAAACCGAGGCATTCTGGCTATATCTGTAAATGCAATCAAAATGTTTTCCCTACGTCTATACTCTTTTAAACTAAGAATAACTGCTTTATTGAACAGCTAAAAGGAACTTAAAAGTATCTTGAAACTCTACAACTTGGATTGGAAATTCCTTTTTTTAAATTGGGGATGAAAGGAGGTCGGGGAGAGAGAGAGAGAGAGAGAGAGAGGGAAAAAAGGGAGAGAGGGGTTGTGAACACAAAGGAAAGCTGCAGCACAGGGGTAAACATGAGCCAATTGCGACGTCAGGGGAGCAGGAAGGCACTTGGTGAAGCCCCCCCCCCCCCATTCCTCTTCCCCTGCTCTCTAGAATTCACTTATCCCCAAATCCCTTCCCCTACTTTACTGATAACAACAAGGAGCGGGCCTTGGGAGCTTAACATAGTGGCAAATCCGGCCGAGGGAATGCTCTGCCAATACACTCTGCGCCTCGGCTACGTCTTCGGGGATTAGAGCGCTTTCCGGGTTTCTTCACCGCGCACGGCGTCTTGAAATGACTTTAATTTGTTTCATTTGAAATAAACTGCCCAGACACTCGGAGTTCAATTTTATGGATGACCTATCAACAGCGTTATCCAATCACTGTGTTAAGAAATGTTGAGTGTATGTGTGTGCATTATCCGTGGTGTGTTATCGGAGTAGACTATGCGTCTGCGTTTTCTAATAGAAAGAGACACTATGTACAGGCCTCCCTCCCCTGTGTGTTTTTCTGCCTTCTCATTATGCATGTTTGCTCAAATAAGTTAGCATAGGTATAACGGAAGTGACAAGCAGAGCACCACACGAGGCAGCTCGGGGAACAAAGGCTCCAGGGATTGCCCTGGACTTGATTTGATTTCTTTCTACAGTGAGCAAGAGTGAGACAGTGAGATCGAGAAAGTGAGAAGGAGAGATGTTACGCCTGTGTCCTGTGTGTGATACCCGTTCATTGCAGGGGCCTGGAGGGATCATGACTGTAAACCTCAGTGTGCTCATGTCAGCTTCTATGGAGAAAATGGATTACACTTGCTCTTGTCTGTTTGAATAGAAACACAGAGCACCAGTGTGCACTTGGCATGACCGTGAGAGGACAGCAAGCTTTATCCTGACACGACAGGCTGATGCCGACTGGGCAGATCACCAGTGGTTCACTGCAAACACATCTTTTATGGATGTGCTTGCCTTCTGCGTGTGTAAATGTTTAGTCTCTGAGGGCATAGCAGTGTCTATAAGTGGAAAAACAGGCAATATCAATTAGCTGTGTGAGATGCTTCGTCAGTATGCCAGATGTAAAGAGTGTTGTACACGATAATGCCTACTATATGTGTATATCACGTTTGATAACACGATGCAATACATTTTCAAGCATTTTATCTGATGCGAGCTTAAGCGCATAGCCTCCATATTAAGATTGCATGAACAATAATTAAATTCAATCACCCTTTAATCCACCTTATAACACGTATTACAGGGACTAGTTGTGACAAACGGACATGCTGTGACTTCTCTACAACAAACTGTTACCAAGAGGAGCTGCCCACTCAAAGCACAGCTGGGCGCCCGAAAAAACAGTTTGGTGCTGTGAAGCTCCCTTGTGTGGCAGTGCTGGTGCATCTAAGCTCAGATGGCCCTGCAACTTTACGCAGCGGGAGCCGTGGTGGGAGTATACATAAAACCGAGTCAAAGCACTTCACACCCAGGAACCCCACAGCTCTCCTGGAGTAGCTATTGTACTCCCAAAGGATGGATCTGTTCTTTTTGTTCATGGATGGGTTTTGGATTTGACAAACTTTTATAAGATGGCTCTTAGTTTAAAAGCTGAATTGAGCAATCAAAGAAAGCCAAACACAGACTATTGTGTATCAATGAGAACTGCTTAATCAAATAATGTGTACATGGCACCATTTAGCATTCTGATATCTATTAGAGTATTATAATGTTTATTTGATGTTAAACATTATAATGTGTAACATGCTGATTATTTGCGAAATATATATTCAACATATTTTATCCAGTGATAGTCTTTCCTTAAAATGTACCAATTTATCTTTCAACTGCCGAATAAAAACATCAGAAAAAGGTAATTTTAACTTTTTCTGTAAGAGTCAGATGTAATAAAAAAAAGGTCTTGATTTTGTCATTTGGTATGATTAAGCATGACTCATTATGCCATTATTGATATTTGTGTACACATTGACCAATGTTGTGCAAACTTTGTATTGTGTTACTTTAATGTACAGTATTGTCAGCTAGCCTTAATTATGAAAGGCAGCATGTTTGCAGTTCCTTAGCATCTGAATTGGTATTTTTTTTGTCTTAAGTACTATCAACAGGCATTAGGCGCTTTCACACTGGAGTACTTTTCCCCATACTTTTCCCTTTTAGTTCCGATAGTTCCTGGGATTTTGTGTTCACACCAAAAAGATAATTTAGTTCATGAGAACTTTTCCCCCCTTTTCAGTCCCTGCTAGAGAGCAGGTACTTTCCTGGGGAGAAAAAAGTTCCAATTTCTGATTGGCTGGGCAAATTGCAAACCACGGCCCGTAAAACTCTGAAAAGTTTTGTGGAGCCGCCATTGTATTTGCTGGCATTAGCATTATTAGCATTTGCCCAAACACAACAAGCCGCTATTTCGGTTATATGTATTTCTCCCTTCTTTTCGCATTACCCCCCTGTGTGTGCAGAATGTGTAGAGATTCAGGCAGTATAATACAGGCTTGCGTCATGGGGAGAGGCATTGGGCCAAGTCATACTCCTGCCATCCACAATCTATTCAACATGCTACACACCAATAGAGCCTCTGTTTTGCTGGAGGAGAACGATTACTGATACCCTCTTAATGTTCTTTAAGCTGGGCCCAAATTGCTAATGTGCCACAAAGCCCAGGCTCTGGTGATCGCGACTGAAGCCTTGGCACAGCACTACAGTGCTTTTTGTGTTTGTTTTTTTCTGGCATCTAAAGGGAATTTGGTAATTACTTTGTTGTTTATGATTGCAATTTTACACCTGACGCCCCCGAACACTGCTTATTTAAAATAATCCTGCTTGTTAGGATTACTTACAGAAAATTGACTATAATGCTATTTAAGCGGAACTAGTTGGAAGAATCGATTCCAGTATGGTCAGGGAACAGGGGTGTTAAGGTGGGAAGCAGTTCAACTCGCACCCTACGACTGACTCTATTGCACTATAGAGACTTACAGTATACAATGAATGTAGGCTTGTTGCCCAGTCTTTACCTAAACCAATGCATGTTGGCTTTATCTTATTTTACATGTTAAGTTCCATAACTGATGCGCACTCAGGTAGTTGTCCGAATAGTGGGGAGATGAACATCGACTCACCCGAGCACTCTGTCCGGCAATGAGCTGGTCATCTTCAGTCTGGACACTAGTCCTGCTGCGAGTATCATAGTCCTCCTGTTCAAAGTCAGAGTCATCTTCAAGCTCCTCTGGTGTCTGTGAGAAACACAAAGACAAAGACGGGCAAACAGTCAGAGAGGGAGAACTTGGAAAAAGAAAAGAACAAACATACAACTCTTAAACTGATAGTTGAAAAGAGCAGATTTGACTCCATGTCCCATTGTATAAGAATATAGACTAGAGTAAAAGGCAACATTTTTGTCTGTTTTGTCGTTCAATAAACATTACGACATTGAGAGTTTTAGATCAAACCAAAGTCAGCATATGGCAAAGAGAGATGCCACATAATAAACCATTGAAATAATCTTCACGTCTTTTAATCATTAAATAAAGAAATGACCGACATTTAAAAAAATTCAGAAATGTGGAATTATAGGAATTTCAAATGTACAGCACTAATTTAATTGTTGAAAAGTAGAGGTATGGATAGCAACAATGATTCCCTTTTAGATTGCAGCTAACAGGAACACATACTTAAACCTTTACATTTAGAGGTAAATATCTGGACACATTAGAACAAAACCTGGGTAAGTGTCTTTGGTTCCCTACACATTAACGTATGTATGGAACCAAAGTGAGTGAGATAAAGGAGGGTAACTTTATTTTTGACACTAAAGAGACACTGGAGAGAGAGATGCTGCCAATGGACATCACCGCCAATGGGTAATTTCTACCCATCATGGAAGCTACTTTATGCAACATCCGCGCCATGCCTGGCTGCCAAGAATCACCCATTGTTTGACGTGTTCTTGATTTCACGACTGCACAAAGCCTAAGCTTGGCTGATTTAAAGAGAGCAAAAACAAAAGAAACATAAATACCCAAGAGGCCCTGGCAGGATAGAAGGAAAGAAGAATCTGATGTGGGAGATACGATATATTAATGAAAATTGAGACGTCATATTTACCCAGTGCTGATGTGAAGTGTTTGGATAGGGCACCTGGAAAGTCTATGAAGTATGTGCTGATTGTGAGTAGTGGGTGTTTGTGTGCGTGTGTCCTTGCATGTGTGATGCTAGAGGGTATAAAAACCACCCTGTGTTAGTTGTAGGGGACATTTGAATGATGAAAGTCATATTAGTAACTTAAGGTACTCTTTTCTTTATTGTGCTACCTGGCTTATGTCAGCTGCCACGAAATATCAGCTAATAAATTGCTTGATTCATTACTAACAACCTTGACACAATTTAAATTGGTTTGTGAAGCTACGACTCAAGCATTACACAATATTTTACGGATGGTCTGTCAAGTCTGGTGTTATTGCTTTCAAGATCCACGACTGCAAAGAAACCATTTTTAAAGCAAACTCGTAGCAGGAATCTTTTTTAAAGATCAAGAATGTCAGATATATTGCTTTTATCAGTACATATTTGCACAGTTTTACCTTGCACAGTAATCTTATTTTGTGTCTTTTAGTATGATTTACAGTGCTGTGTGGCAATTGTAATTCTTTTAAAGTACAGTAATAACAGTCCATTGATTTCTCTGGAGGTGTCATGTAATAAAGAAAACAAACATAATTACTCCACCATGCTAAATAACTGGGAAAACCATTGGGAGCATTAGCAATTTTGGGAAAAATGGAATGTAATAAACTTAGACTTCGGCTCAAATTAAGAAAGTAAATCATGAATAACCTTTTTTATAACGCTGTCTCCATAATTAAGATTAGTGGGTAAGCCAGCTAACCTCAGCACAGGCATGTTGATCTCATGAAGCCGGCTCACTCTTAACTGGGATACATCACCATGGTAACACATGGTGGATGCGTTACATGCTGCTGAGAATATGAGATCAAAACGTGAACATGTGTAAACTCATCATTCCTACATGATGCTGACATTTAAAAAATTCCAGTGTTTACAGAGCTGTCAGGGTTATTCTTGTGAAGAGGACTGAGAGTTCCCCTATTTACAGGCAGCGAGAATGTAGCCTCTCTATGATGGATTATTGTATCAGAGATATCATAAGCGATTTACACATAACTCATTTTAGACTGGCACTAGAGCAGGACTACTAAACAGCTCAAATGCTAGTGGACCATAGTCTTTGGTAATAATGAAATAAATGTACTGTAAACTAGCGATGGCTGGTAATTGTGATGCATTTCCTTCTTAGTATTCCCAACAGTAAAATATACATTTAACATGAGTAAATTAAAATGTTTTCAAGCTTAGCTAGCTGGATCATAACGTCCAGGGAAGTATGACCATATGTGAACCAGCTGCAGAGACTGGTCCTTCAGTTCAATGGGGACCCGGATGAGCAGAGGATACAATTAATGTTATTTATTAAAACCAGCCTTTCAGACTGTAT